AGAATTCTGAATTCTGATTCTAGTCATTTCTGCCAGTGGAATGTTCTTCTGTACCTACTCTGACTAGATGGATTGTGCATATTGCCCTTGCCATTTCAAAAACAAAACAAGAAAAAATAGTCAATGATTCTTCAATGAAGTTTGTGGATCATTTTTCCAGTTTTTAAAATTTATTAATTGTTCAAGTTAAGAAGACGCCTGACTTTTAACCTTTTCACCTGTTCAGGTCAGATGAAGAATTTACCTTTCTGTTTGAAATACTAATGGCTTTACTTTGAAAAAAGTAAACCATGTATTTTCTGACAGAAGCTTACAGTCGTAGTTCTTTCCGTAATTTCTCATCATTTTCAGGTTTTTAGAAGATGTATTAACTTCCTCCATAAAGTGTACTTAAGTAGGCTGACGAATTCTCAAATAGGCTTTAATTATTGATAGAGCCCAAGTGCTAATACATTAGTAAATTAAAATAATTCATATTCAAAGTTAATTTTAGTGTAATTAACACTTACAATGTCCATACTTTACAATTCTTCTCATGATGTTGGTGCACACTAAGAACCAGTGCCAACTGCTTTTCAGTAACTCACCCTTGTTTTATTAATCATGCATAAACTAATTGATCTTGAAGCAACATCACAACTGCATCCCAATTTAGGAGCAAATTACTGCAGATGCTGAAATCTGTACTGAAAACAAAAAGTACTGGAGATCACAGCGGGTCAGGCAGTACGGACAGAGGGAAAGCAAACGCTTCAAGTCTAGATGACTTCATCAGAGCTGACATGAAGTGTGGAGAGGGAGGCATTTATGCAATAGTGTTGGGGGAGGTGCTGTAGACTGCTGGGGGAGAAACGATGTAGATAGCGCAGATTAAGGAGGGGGGTGGTCACGGTGACAGGGAATTTAACAAATAAAACTAGAGGAAAGGGAAGGAATAGGAGAGGGTTCACAATTTGATGGTGTTGAACTCTAGTCCAGAAGGTTCTAAAGTGTCTAGTCTGGAGATGAGATGAGATGATGAAGCACAGTGCAAACTGGAGGAACAACAAACATCTCATCTTCAGACTAGGTAATTACAAGTGATCAGTCAAGGGAAGATTTCCCTCCACCAGCCAATCCTGGAACAGTATGGAAAACAGAAGTTGCAGGGAAAGCTCAGCAGTTCTAGCAGCATCTGTGAAGAGGTGACCCTTCCTCAGAATTGTAAGGCCATTCTTACCACGTCACTCTGGATAATCTATTTTGGCACATACTTAGGCAAACAATATAGCTCATTGTATTTAAATTGTTTCTGTAACAAGAGTTTCTTCTGATACCAAGTCTCAATCTTCACACTTGTATATCTGTTGTACTGAGTAGCCATATACATGTGCTCTCTTGAATAACAATTTAACTGATATAGAATCTAACGGAATACTGCAATACAAAATTAAATCCTGAAACAAAAGAAATCTCAAATTTAAAATGAGAAAATACATTACCTTCCAACTCCCCATCACCACGCACTTCCTAATTAGACAAGATGATCGATTAGCACGGTAGATCAGTGGTAAGTACTGCTGCCTCACCGCGCCAGCGACCCGAGTCCACTTCCACCCCCGGGCAACTGCCTGTATGCAGTTTGCACATTCTCCCTGCGTCTGCGCGGGTTTCCGCCGGGTGCTCTGGTCTCCACACACAGTCCAAAGGTGTGCAAGTTCGGTGGATTGGCCAGTCGGGGGTGGGGGAGGTGGTGGTAGCGAGGGGTTGCTCTTCGGAGGGTCAGTGTGGCCTGCTTCTACACTGCAGGTACACCTACGGGTTTCTCTACCCAGTCATTACAGTACGGGCAGTGAGAGCCTTTTGCAGCCAGATCCTTGCAAAGCAATCCTATCAGCCCCATCCCCTTGCAAGTTTAATTGTCTCAGGCGCCCATCTAGATTCCTTTCGAAATCATTCGCGGGATGCCCTGGCAAGGACTGTCACAGAAACCCTCCTCTAAAGCTAGAAATGAGAGGATCAGCATATGGCGCAGATGGGCTCAGCCCCAAAATAACATCGAAAGAGGCTTCACAAAATGTGAGCAGACCCCATTCCCGTTCTCCGCGGTACATCCCTTTTTTTGTGTGTGTGCCCCAGCTGCAGGATTTCGCCTGCGGTTTGGTTTTTTTTTTGGCATTCGCCTGCGGGGAGGCCAAGCGAGGCCTACAGGCTCCACTCTCACCGAGAGCCTGTCTCGGTCAAGGACGGAGGGGAAAATAACAACACAACCCGTACTTACACTAATGCGCCTCCATAGCTGATGTTACGTCGCCGACGGGCAGTTGTTTTGGGGTGGGACAGGGCGGGGAGGGGAGAAATGGGGCAGTTAGAGAGGGAAGGTTTGGGGGAAGGGGGGAGGGGAAACGTTCAGCCGTTTTTCACCTCGCCGACATGGCCGCACCAACCGTCCGCCTCCGTCGAGGGACTACTTCCGGTGACGTCACCCCACCCCACACCCACACCGTGATTGACGCGGAACACCAGCCAATCCACAGCCTGCCCGTCTGCAAGATCTCGGGCTGCCATTCATCCAACTCTCCGGTCCCGCCCCTTCGCCTGAAAGTTGTTGGGCGCTCCACCCACCACTTGGAAAGTTTGCAGCCTACTGAATTCCCCCCAAAACTTTGAAACTGTCCCATTCAAAAACAAAAAGCACATATTCGAGGTTCCTCCTCGCCCCCTCACACTAGTACTTTATTACACTGAAGCAGTGGAACCTTGTCAGCCTGCAATAAGGCAACTTGTCCGTTAAATTGATTAAACGCAGACTGCCTTCTACGTGCTAGATGCAGAGAAAGCTCTGAAAGTTTGTGCTACGTGTACACAAGTACTCCCAAGGAATTAAAAAAGAAACTCCATCTGTTACGTGGCTGACCTCACTCTGGCACCAAATACACATCATTTCCACCTGTCTTAACTGTTTCCTTACTGACAGAGTAACATAACCAACCCGTTATGTTTGCTGTAATTTTCATAACTACGTTTTAGTCTTAAAAATATATTACTGACAATGCAAGTCGAGGTAACGGAACTAACTGCCAAATGAAATACAGCAGCAGATCCAAACGTTCAGGGTTCTCGTTACTCCTGCTGAAATCCAGTTATTACCACTTACATAGTTAAACTTCAAGCTGCAGTCCCGGTGATCCACATGTAACAGAAGATATTAGAGATCAGAAAAACTGGGAAGATAAAAGGTCTATGTATTGGAGGCTTATCCCATATTCCCAGAAGCATCTCAAGTTTTAAATTCCTTGAAGTGCAGTGGCTGATAGAGACAACTGCAAGAGCCATTGCACACAGAGTAGCAACCAAGTCCTATTTTGATTAATAGATAGGAGTTGAACAATCCTACTACTCAGAACATCCCAAAACAATTCATTCATGATATTTTAAGTACAACAACGATTATGAAAAAAAACAAGCGAAAACTATTTTGCATGTTCCAACAATGATTAGATGAAAGACTAGTTAAACAATAGATACCCAAGTCATGAAAAAAAAACCAATGTTGATCATGAAACAATAACACGACATTCTTCAAACTGTGCCACTTAATGTCCAGATGGCAGCTCAGTCAAACATTTCATTAAGACAACAGTGCCAACAATGCACCACTCTAAAATTACTGTCACCAATAGTGCAGAGTATGGCATCCAACTGCTGTTCTCTGAATTGAATGCACACATTTTAATTTAGAGGTGTAAATGTTACCATCTGAACCAAGCTGATGCAGCTTAGATACAAAGACTACGAACAGGTGCTGGGTGACAATCTCGAAATAGCTACTTCTACCTTTGAGGCTAGTTCTGAAAGTTAACTTATATCTTCTATTTTAAATGGAACTTTGATTCTTCAGAATGGAGAAATAACATCTGAGAAGTGATCACACTGCAGTAAGGAAGTAGTAAATCGAGAAATGACTTCAAATTAAATTGCAGAGCAGGTTCAAGCAGCAAAATTTAAATTCAGAACGATGAAAAAAAACTTTTCCTGATATTAAACAGTAGCAATTAATACAGGGAATAGAAGCAAGATTCTGCGGGTATCTGTCACTGATCCATTCCTTGAGGAATACATCCATTGGTAGGTGTCTAGACTTGCACACAGAAATGGCCACAGTCAGGCACCAAAGCCAACTCTAAATGAACTGCACCTTCATAGAAAGGACAAAAAAATAGAAGGGCAGTTAAAAGTCAAGTAGCTGTGTGGAGCTTCACAATTTAAGGCCTTCCAGAACAACAATTAAGGCTAGCATTTCTGTGGCTGTAACAACAAATTTACATCATGTCTCAGAAGTTCTTGAATAAAATGAGTTCTTGAGCACTGTTTGAATGGCTTTGCTTTAAATAATTTAATTGCTTGAAAATTTAATTCAATTCTGAATGGCATTTCTTCAAATCTAACCTTTTATTCTCTCCCAGTTTACCACAGTCTTTTGCTACTTTTTTTTTTAAAAAGTCAGCATCTCTCCTGATCATCCTCCCTCCACCAACTAAAGAATGTATTACTCAAGCTCACAACTCAGCACATGATTCCTTGCATCAGTTGCTAGTAGTCAGCTGATTTACTTAGTTAAAGTCCATGGTTCCGCTGGCTGCATTTGCTGCCGTAAACAAATACATTTTTGCATTGATGAAATTCATCAGTTTTAAAGGTAAATAATGCATCATCCTGTAGTCCAAAGCATTTTGTTGAACAGTTCAACAATATTTATTTTTTTTAAATACCAGAAGAAATATTTATATACATTAAACTGTATAACTACTGCACAATGTGTTTTTGTTAGACAGCTGTAATACTTAAACACTTTAACCAGCTGCAATGGCAAGCGATGTGAAAAATATTATAACCAAGAGGGCCAAGCTGCACAACATGTGAAATGTAAAGTGTTATAAAAATCTGTTCTCTAGTTAGGCCTGCAATTAATCTACAATGAACAGAAAAAAACAATAATAAATAATTGCCATTGCAAGAGGTCATGTTGAAGAAATAGCCATTTATTACCACACTTGAATGTGTGTCTTAGTCGATGTGACATGTGACCTTCATAAAGACAAAGATCATAAGACGTTCATGAGCTGCACTGCAATGAAGTTCAAGTAGATCTTAAAACTAGCAACAGAAGTATGTTTGCTCCATTGGAACAGAAATGCAACAGATTCTGGCTTCAGGTACTGGTTATCCAAATTTCACGGTTACCAAATTAGCATATCTTCCAGAATTAAAAACCATGACTCCATTAGGTCTGCGATTCCTTTTTCACATTGTCCAAAGGTGAAAAGAGTTTTCAAATCAACAACATTTTCCTTCAGTTCAAATAACTGTGTTGTTACAATGCATGGCATTCACTCAAATCATTCTTGCATTGCCTCCAGAAAATCATTTCTTCCTACGGATCTTGGGCTTTTTGACTGGTCTTAGATATGGATTGTCAATCATTGGCTCTTCACTACTCTTAGTATTAGATAATCCCGAGCTTTGTTGTAACATGGTATTTTCCTTTTCAGCAGACATTTCATCCTAGAAAAAAAAAGGTGCTTTGTTATACAACATTTATAGCATGGCCAACATTGCAAAAAATGACTCACTAGTTTGCATTTAGAATTCAGTCAGCACTGTGAGGAATATTTCCACTTTCCAGTCCCTTTAATAGCAATAGTTTTGAAAATATTTTAAATTAACAAAGGGCAATAAAACTACTCGGAAAAGAATACAATGCAACAGCCTTATTACAGAGTGGAGAACTATTACTCAAAGAGATAAACAAACATCAATCCAGCTTTCAACTCAATATTTCATTATTATTCAAAGTTGTCCATGATCAAAAAGAACAACGGACTATTTATGTACAAAAAAAATTAGCATTTAAAATTTACTAATGAAAGATTATTCAAATAGGCAATACTGCTTTCACCCGTGATAAAGAGACAAGTCAAAGATAGAATACTCGTCCATTAACAGTGGCTGTTTTGAAGCCCAAAACAACTGAACCAGAAAATGGTTGTTACAAGAATGAGGATTCATCAAATTGCGGGCTGGGATCTTCTGAACAAAAAAAACAGCAAAATACTTAGCCATAAAAAAAAAGGACGAACTTCAATTGATCCTGGATCTGCTGCATTAGCCATTATTGATGCTTCAACTAGCCTCTGCCTCAAGTAGAGTTGTGATAATGTCACTTGTGTCTAATATTAATAGTATGTCAGTATTTTTTATAGAGTCATAGAGTTACAACAGCTTGGAAACAGAACCTTCAGTCCAATTTGCCCATGCTGACCAGGTGTCCTAAAACAATTTAGTCCCATTTGCCAGCATTTGGCTCATATCCCTCTAAACTCTTCCTATTCACGTACCCATCCAGATGCCTTTTAATCCATTCATTCATTCATAGGATCCCTGCAATGTGGAAACAGGCCCTTCGGCCCAACAATCCCAGCAACATCCTTGTAGATCTTTTCTGAACCCTTTTAAGTTTAACAACATTTTTCCTGCAGCAGGGAGGCCAGAATCGTATGCAGTATTCTAAAAGTGGCCTCACCAATGTCCTGTATAGCCATAACAGGACATCCACTGACCCACGAAGGCAAGCACGCCAAAAGCCTTGAACATCTTGTCTACCTGCGACTCCACGTTTAAGGAATTATTCACCTGTACCCCTAGGTTTTTGTTTGGTAACACTCCCCAGGGCCCTACCATTAACTGTGTAAGTCCTGCCCTGGTTTGACTTGCCAAAACACTACACCTCACATTTATCTAAATTAACTCAATCTACCACTCCTCAATCCATTGGTCCATTGCCTTCTTTGCTGGCCAACACACAACCAATTTTTGTGTCATCTGCAAATTTACTAGCCATACCTCCTATATTCACATCCAAATCATTTATATAAAAATGACAAAAAAAAAAACAGTGGACCCAGTACCAATCCTTGTGGCACACCGCTGGTCACAAGCTTCCAGTCCAAAAAACAACCCTCTAGCACTATCCTGTCTCCCACCTTCAAGTCAACTTTGTATCCAGTTGGCTAGCTCCCCGTAGATTCCACGTGATCTAATCTTGCTAACCAGTCTACTATGCAGAGCCTTTTTGAACGCCTTGCTGAAATCCATGTACAGCAGACAATGTCTACTGCTTTGCCATCATCAATCTTCTTTAGCACCTCTTCAAAAAAAATTCAATCAAGATAGTGGGACACTATTTCCCATGTGCAAAGCCATGTTGCCTATCCTTAAAACAGACCTTGCCTTTCCAAAGGCATGTAAATCCCGTCCCTCAGAATCCCCTCCAATAACTTGCCCACCACTGACGTCGGGCTCACCGGTCTATAGTTCCCTGACTTTTCCTTACCACCTATCTTAAATAATGGTGCCACATTAGCCACCCTCTAGTCTTCCAGCACCTCACCTGTGGCTGTCGGTGATACAAATAGCTCAGCAGCAAGGGGCCCAGCAATCACTTCTCTAACTTCCCACAAAGTTTTGGATACACCTGATCAGATCTTGGGGAGTTATCTACTTTTATGCATTTTGAGACCTCCAGCACCTCCTCTATTGTAAGATGGACGCTTTTCAAAACATCACTATTTATCTTCCTAAGTTCCCTAGCTTCCAAATACTTCTCCACAGTAAATATTGATGTGAAATATTCATTTGGTATCTTATATTATAAGACCACAAGAAACAGGAACAAGGACTCTGCCCCCACAGCACTCTGTGGCAAGGAGTTCCAAAGACACAACTCTCAGAAGAAACTCCTCCTCATCTTGGTCTTAAATTGGTAACCCTTTATTCCGGGACTATGCCCTCTGTCCTAGACTCTCCCATGAGGGTAAATAACGTCTCAGCATTTACAATGCCAAGTGCCTTAAGAATCCTGTGTTTCAACGAGATTACCTCTCATTCTTCTAAACTTCAGTGAGTATAGAGTCCCAAACTGTTTAGCCTTTGCTCATAAGACCATCCCTCATCCGAATGAACCTTCTTTGAAGTGCATCCAATGAAATTGTATCTTTCCTTAAATAAGGGTACCAAATGGTGCTCAATACTCCAGATGTAATTTCACAAGCACCTTATACAGTTGCAGTAAGACTTCCCTACTCTTATACTCCAATCCCTTTAAAATAAAGGTCCAACATGCCATTAACCTTTCTGTGGTACAATACACAAGTATCCTCAAGTCCCTTTGTTTTGTAATTTTCTGCAGTTTTTCACCATTTAAATGATATTCTTTTCTTTTGTTCTTCCTTCCAAATTGGAAAACTTTGCATTTTCCAACATTATATTCGATTTGCCATGTTCTTAACTTGACTAAGTTTAATGTTTTAGGGAGGATCTGTAGCTCGGGTTGTGGTTGGTTTGCCGAGCTGACCATTTTCATCTCCCTTCTAGGTGACATCTTCGGTGCTGTTGTTCTCTTCCTCTCTGAATTTACATGGTCCAGTCTGTCCTGTTTCCGGTTTTGCACCATAGTGGTATGAAGGTGGGGTCTATTTCAACATTTTCGTGCTTTTCAAGAATCCTGGAAGCCTGGTTTTCAACCACTGGTACGATAAACAGACACACTGAAAGAGACCCCATCTTCAAACCACTACGGTGCAAAATCAGAAACAGGATGACCCACCATGACAAGGTGTAGACCTGGATGAACACAGCAGGCCAAGCAGCATCAGAGGAGCAGGAAGGCTGACGTTTCGGGCCTAGACCCTTCGCTGCTTGGCCTGCTGTGTTCATCCAGCTCTACACCTTGTTATCTCAGATTCTCCAGCATCTGCAGTTCCTACTATCTCTGACCCACCATGACAGACTGGACCATATAAATTCAGAGCGGGACAGAACAGCGCCTCAACGGAGGCTAGACAGCTCTGAAGATGTCACCTAGAAGGGAGACGAAACGTTTGCACGAAAATGGTCAGCTCAGCGAACCAACCAACAACTCCTTGACTAAGTTTATTGTCCAAGTGTTCTCTTCACAATTTTGGCATACACAGATGTGGGTTTCAATCACAGTTCAGATGCTTTTTTAAATAAAAGAACTGACGACTTGAATTCATTTGGCACTTTTATTCCCAAAGCACTTCAAAAGAGTGTTAGCACACAAACATTTATAACAAGCCACATCAGGAGAGGCCAGAAACAATCGTTAAAAGTTTGTCTCAATAGATAGCCTCAAGGAATGGCTCAAAGGTATCTATTAACGTTGCTCAAAGATTCACCACTAACTCAAATTATTCTGTGCAATACAATATCCTACAAGTGGCAAAAAAAAGTTCTAAATCCAAGGCTATTTCTCCCACAAGGTGGAACAGTGTGACAGCAATTTATAAAATCTTTGCATTAGTAAATAGTCTACATTGTCAACATTGTAAAAAAAAATGTAAAGAGTATTCTAAACATACCGAATTCATATTTAGTGCAAGGTTTTCTGTATCAGTCTGATCATCCTGTTCTGAGGAATCTGTCTCCTCCATCTGCTGCAACTCAAGCTCAGATGGTAGCAAGGCACTTAGATAAGGAATTGTGGTGGTTCGTGCAGCAATCACTTTACAAGAGTGAAAAAGAATATTTTACTAAAAACAGAATTTCAGAGGTTATGCATCTCACTTTTAGTTATTTATAATTGGACAATGAACACAATTTACTTCTTAATAAAATATGGTATGATAGCAAACTCGACAAGTTGCTCATAATCATTTTTAACATAACAGACATTTACAATCACAAAGTCAGAAAGAGGGCACTTGGCCCATTCTGTTATTTAAGAAGCGAAGGAGACGAAAACAGGGAACAATAAGCCAGTTAGCTTAATATATGGTATTGAGAAAATGTTAGATACTATTATAAAAGTTGCAATCATAGAGCATTTAGAAATACAAAATATGATCAAGCAGGGTCAGCATAGGTTCATAAAGGGAAATCATGCCTGACAAGTTTGTGAGAATTCTTTGAGGAGGTAACAAGCAGCATAGATAAAGGGCAAACAGGGATGAAATATACTTGGATTTTCAGGAGGGATTTGATAAGTAGCCTAACGTGTGGTATCCTAATGAAATAAGAGCCCGTGGTGTTGAATTAGTACATTAGCATGGACAGAGAATTGGTTAAATAATAGGCTGGGGTAATGGGACTTTTTTCAGGTTGGAAACCCATAACAAGTGCTAGGACCACATTTACTTACAACATATGTTAATGATTTGCATAAGAAATTGACTGTAATACAGTCAACTTTGCAGACAACATAAAAATATGTTGGAAGGCAAGATGTGAGGATGAAACAAAGCCTGCAGACAAATATAGGGGACAACAAGGTGCAGAGCTGGATTCAGGCCTAGACCCTTCATCAGAAAGCCTTTCTGCTCCTATGATGCTGCTTGGCCTGCTGTGTTCATCCAGCTCTGCACCTTGTTGTCTCGGATTCTCCAGCATCTGCAGTTCCTACTATCTCTGCAGACAAATATAGACTGGTTTCATGAGTGGTCAAAAACTTGGCAGATGGACTATAGTGTGAGCAAATGTGAAGTTATGCACTTTGGAAGGAAGAATACAGAAGCTGAATAGTATTTAAATGGAGAAAGAACTGCTGAAAGCTATAGCACAGAGGGGCTTGGGAGTCCTTGTGCATAAATCACAAAAGGCTAGCATACAAGTTTAGCAGGTAATGGAGAAGGCAAATGGAATGTTAGGCTTTTATTTCAAAGGGAACAGAGTATAAGAAATAGGGAGGCCTTGTTAAAACTATACAAGATGCTCGTAAGTCCACAGCTGGAATACTGTGAACAGTTTGGGTCCTTTATCCAAGGAAATATAAAGTAACATTGGAGGAGGTCCAGAAAAGGTTCACTGATCCCAGGTATGGAGGGACTGTCATATGAGGAGAAGTTGGGTCGGGTGAGCCTGTATTCCCTAATGTTTAGAAGAATAAGAGGTGGCATTATTGAAACATACAAAATTCTTAGCAGACTTGGAAGTACAGATGTAGAAAGGTTGTTTGCCTTTGTGGGAGAGTCTAGGACCATGCAGCACTCTTTCCCGCACTCACCAAATTTTTTTTCAGAGAAACTTGCCTTTTTCTACTAAAATACTTTTGTACAAAAGTAAAAATTAAATGCTTACATGGGAATGTTGAGACATCATCTTTAAACAGACTCTCGGTCTCTCCCGTCTTAGCCATAAA